AGGAGACTAACACTTATCACGTCGTCATAAGTGTCAGTGTCGTATGTACGGGTTATTTGTGAATTAAATAAATGATGTTCGCGCTGCGCAGACACCTGGGCATATGTGTAAACATTGTGGTGTGGCTGGTGGGCTGGAGCCTCAAGTGGGTCATATGCCCCAAGTGGAGAGCACTTCATGAGAGTGATAAGCCTTGTTACAGCCGGTGCTATGAGAAAGACTGCTGCACGTGTCTTGGTAAAGACCTCACACATGAGCACCCCCTTACTGTCGTGACCTGCCTCACACATGAGCACCCCCTTACTGTCGTGACCTGCCTCACACATGAGCACCCCCTTACTGTCATGACCTGCCTCACACATGAGCACCCCCTTACTGTCGTGACCTGCCTCACACATGAGCACCCCCTTACTGTCGTGACCTGCCTCACACATGAGCACCCCCTTACTGTCGTGACCTGCCTCACACATGAGCACCCCCTTACTGTCGTGACCTGCCTCACACGAGCACCCCCTTACTGTCGTGACCTGCCTCACACATGAGCACCCCCTTACTGTCGTGACCTACCTCACACATGAGCACCCCCTTACTGTCGTGACCTGCCTCACACATGAGCACCCCCTTACTGTCGTGACCTGCCTCACACATGAGCACCCCCTTACTGTCGTGACCTGCCTCACACATGAGTACCCCCTTACTGTCGTGACCTGCCTCACACATGAGCATCCCCTTACTGTCGTGACCTGCCTCACACATGAGCACCCCCTTACTGTCGTGACCTACCTCACACATGAGCACCCCCTTACTGTCGTGACCTGCCTCACACATGAGCACCCCCTTACTGTTGTGACCTGCCTCACACAAGAGAATAATAATATATCTTTATTTACTACAAGTATATATACAAGGTATACAGGCCAGGTTGGCATCAGTAACAGAAAGCCCCTTGTTATGCAGAGCATTTCGGGCAAATTAGGTCAGTGTCCCATGATGCGACCCACATCAGTGGCCTAACACCCAGGTACTCATTTTACTGATGGGTGAACACAGACAACAGGTGTAAAGAAACACGCCTAATGTTTCTACCCTGGCTGGGAATCGAACCCAGACCCTCGCCGTGTGAAGCGAGAGCTTTAGCCACCTGGCCACCAGAGCCCTTTATTGTCGTGATCTGCCTCACACAGGAGAACTAGTTACTGCCGTTACTTACCTCATACGCAAGAGAACCAGTTACTGCCGTGAGTTGCCTCACACGCAAGAGAACCAGTTACTGCCGTGACCTGCCTCGCACGCAAGAGAACCAGTTACTGAAGAGTGATTGAATGAACACTGACACGTTACGAGGGCTCTGCTTACCTCACAGTCCGGCCTCAGGCCAAGCTTTTTTGCAAACTCTGTCAACCAAGTTGTTTGTGCTACTAACACTCAGGCCCACGTAACCATCACAATCCCTATTTTTCACTGCATTGATTCTACACTTCCTCACATATGATATAAAATCAGGTACATCTCCGTTCCAGAGAGAACAAAGTGCTTTGAGGTATCACAGTAGTTTTACTGTTTTACTGATTCTGCGGGCAGTAAACAACCTCCATGTTATTCAGCTCAACTGTCTCTCCTCTGCCTTGAATATCTGAGTAGTGAGAGAACCTCTGCTTCGAAATGTAACATCACTGGTTGTCAGTGTTATGATCCATACTGTCATATTCCTTTGCCGCGTTTGACTTACTGCGTTCTTAAATGTCAGAGCACCTGATAAATAGTTTTACGTCTTCTATTTGTTTCCTTCATACAATGAGAGGATCAGCCAGCATTCTATATACTGTGTTCGTTCTGAATTCATTCTTTACATATATAACTACTTAAAATTTGTAAACTGGCCATAAAGACCCCAATGGAAATAAGTCACTTTGTTAGACTTCCTTGGGTTTATTCTAGGTAATGTACACTTACGCTGATATGTATGATAATTTATATAATTATTTATGTTTACCCGTTGTGCAAGAAAGGTATAAAATACCGACAATATGAAAGTTAAGACACATGTGCAACATCTGGATATCTTTATTGTAGACGTTTCGCCATCCAGTGGCTTTATAACCGCCAGTCTTCTTGCCTTTGCTCCAGATTCTCCTCCACCATGATGCTGTGAACACTAACTCCAAGGCTGAGGGACTGATTACCTCATCTTTTGTATATAGTTATACTGTCTTTCAATTATGTCCTAGAATCTGTAATGATAAAGCCACTGGATGGCGAAACGTCTACAATAAAGATATCCAGATGTTGCACATGTGTCTTAACTTTCATGTGTACCCGTACCTGAATAAACTTAATAATGTTACTTTTATTTGCCCACTGGTCTTATCCGCATTTTTTCTGTATTTTCTAATGAGGTTGTAACCTTTACAGTTATCCTGGTTAAGTCCATAAAGGATGATAAGAAGCTTTTAGTGCTCCATGTTTGCTACGAGGATGAGAAACAGCAGGAGTACTAAGATAGTGCCTTGCGGTAATGAACTTAATGCAGCTTTCCTCTCCATACCCTTACACCAAAAATAATCATGAACCTTCTTCCCCCTGACCCTTCCCCTACACATCTCCCATAATAAAAGCTACATTCTAATTAAAAGAAAAAATATACATTATATGTTATGATCAAGAGTTAGTCGGTGATATTCTTTCTTGAATAAATTAATAAAACTTGCCTCATGACTGACACCTTCCCTAGGAAAGCCTTAAGACAAGTTACATTAATTAATCTATTTTATAGTATTTCTCTTTTAGCGAAAGTTATATTAACTTTTTCCAAGTAAGAGGCGATTTTTTTTTAGGTCCCGCGTTTACTACAACTACTATTATTACTACCATACAAGGGTCGTACAGGGCTTGTAGAAAGGGTGGTAATGAGGTTTGACCTGTGGAATGGGAAGGTAGCTCTAACTCTTTAGATCAAGAACACTTTAGCAGCACTGCATTAGCAAGAGAAGAGAAAGACTTACTCTCTAGTGGGAGTGTTAGCTGGTAGGTGGTGGCTGTGGGTGTGGTGGGGGCCGCCGTGGGCAGGCCGGAGGAGAGACCGTTGGAGGCGGCGGCGGCAGCGGCGGCGGAGTTGGTGGAGGCGGTGGAGGAGCCCATGTAACCAGCATAGCCTTGGCCGTAGTAGTAGCTGCCTGCGGCGGCCGCCTGCCCCGCGTACGCCGCAGAGTAGTAGGCTGAGTCCAGACCCTGCTGAAGGAGACCCACAGCAACGTTACACCAATAGAAATAAGTCACTAGATAATTTACACAATGTATGATAATTGCCTGAGTAAATTTGCTCACAGTAAGTTTACTTAGGCACAGGTACACAAAAGTACAATTACACATTGCTTCAGTACCTCCTGCTACTGATCCTACCAGATCAACCAGGCTGTGTTGCATATGTGAGACAGCGGGACGCCAGCAGCAAGAGGCTGGTTGACCAGGCAAGCACCAAACAAACCTAACCCAGGGCCGAGCTCCGAGAGAAGAAAACCTCTGGAAACCCATCAAAAGTATGTGTGTGGGGGACCCACTACCACGTTACCATCTCTCACAACAATGATGTTTGTTGATGAATGAAACGCACTGCAATATTTGGGTATCTTTATTGTGGGAACGTTTCGCCCACCAGTGATTTTATCAAGCCAATTATTTCTAGGTTGAGGGACTGATTCCCTCAGACTCGCTCTTCACATCTTCCAGTTTTTCTCTGTATAGGACTGATGAAGCCACTGGTGGGCGAAACGTTTCCACAATAAAGATAACTAAATATTGCACAAGTGTCCCAGTCATCTACTTGTGGGTTTTCTAACCCATTAATATAATAATGTCTGTCTATATAAAAAATGCAAATCATCAATAACTGGCACTTGGGAGAAGAATCTCATGACGTTTCCGTCCTTCTTGGATTAATGTGATGACATGACAATGTGTGATGAATGTTTTGAAAACCGATGGTTTTCAAAAACAATTTTCAACACAACTGTCAGACACAGCAACATCATTCTTCGACATGACAATGAGCCAGGACAGGGCGAAACGTTTCCATAAGATTCCACTCCCAAGTGCGAGATATTGATCATTTGTTCCAGCCACGTTATTGTGACTATTGTTGATGTGCAAAACCCGTGTAGGCTCTGTGACCCCCTACAGTTCTAGCGCTTTTTTAATATAATTGTTATAGCTAAGGGAAGCACTGAAAACGTAGTGGGCCATGGGTTCTAACCCCACCTGTACCGTGTTTTTTTTATTTAATCAGCTTCGATCCAACAATGAGGACAAGTACAATTCCTTTTATCAAGAGCCCCTCACCAGCATCAAGGAACCTCATTTTAGGGAACTCCCTTATGTTGGTGTGAATCATTCAGCGCAAGACGTAAAGACTCGATCCTCTGTCTGCACACATATACACGTGCACACAGCAATACATGAACACAAACACATACAAGCGCACGCACACTCTGAAAAATGAGAGTCAGTAAGAGACAGGTGGAGGCTAATAACACAGATGAGATACAGGGATGTTAGGAACTACTTTTTCTTTCACAGAGTAGATTATACACAGTTTGAAAGCGATTGTGTCAAACTCCATACACAGCTAAGAGTACATATGCCAGCGCCCATCAGGCCAGGAATAGTGATCGCTCGTGAATAAGAGAGAAGCCAGGAGCTGTGAATCGACCCCTGCAATCACAACTAGGTGAGTATACACACACACACACACACACACACACACACACACAGCAGAAGGACCCACCTGTTGCGTGGAGGTGTAGTTTTGTGTGTTGCCGGTGGCGAAGGAGGCATTGTAGGAGGTACCGTAGTAAGGGTTCTGGCAGGCCTGAGTGCCACTACTGCTGCTGAAGGAGCCGTAGGGAGCCAGGTAGGAAGCAGTGGCGGAGCCCAGGGAGCTGGCCGAGCCTAGAGAACCCGTGGAACCAAGGCACGACGAACCCAGACCAGTGGAACCCAGAGTGCCCTTACTGCTCTGGTTGAGACCTCTCGTTGTGCCTGCACCAATGAAAATGTTAGTAAAGTATTGCAGATATGTGGAGGAGGAGGTAGAGATGTGCTGCAGTGTATGAAGGTGAAGGAAGAGAAGGAGGTAGGAATGTGCTGCAGTGTATGAAGGTAAAGGGAGAGGAGGTAGGAAGGTGCTGCAGTGTATGAAGGTGAAGGAAGATAAGGGGGTAGGAATGTGCTGCAGTGTATGAAGGTGAAGGAAGAGAAGGAGGTAGGAAGGTGCTGCAGTGTATAAAGGAGAAGGGAGGGAGGGGAGGGAAGATTATAGGAAGACGTGACTTGAACGAGGAGCCAAATTACACTATCAGGATGAAAATTACACCCAATAGCGAGGTGCGATCGAGAACACTTACTGGGGAGGTACTCGACATGGCGGGAGAGACATCATAAGTAACTAGTGAGAGTGGTAAAGGTACCAAGACTGAGGAGTGGGTGTGTGGTATAAGCACTAGGTACTAAGACTGAGGAGCAACACTCACTTAGCAGGTAGTCGGTGCCGTAGGAATACTGAGAGTTGGGCATGGTGTTGTAGAAGCCAGTAGGCTGCATGTACGAGTTACCGCCGTAGGCCTGCATCGTGCTGTGAGGGGGAGACGGAGGTGAGATGGGTGTTGGTCAAGTGAAGACTGGTGCTAGTAGAAACTGTGGTTGTAGAGGGTGGTGGTGATGGTGTGGGTGGTGATGGTGTGGGTGGTGGTGGTGAAGGTGTGGGTGGTGGTGATGGTGTGGGTGGTGGTGGTGATGGTGTGGGTGGTGGTGATGTTGTGGGTGGTGGTGGTGATGGTGTGGGTGGTGGTGGTGATGGTGTGGGTGGTGGTGATGGTGTGGGTGGTGGTGGTGATGGTGTGGGTGGTGGTGGTGATGGTGTGGGTGGTGGGTGATGGAGTGGGTGGTGGGGGTGATGGTTATAGTAGACTTTTACTCAGATTCCAGTTAAGCATGGGATAATATGACTATTTTATATACGAGTATTTGAACAAGACGAAAGAAAAGGAAAGAGGGAGAAGGACTCACATATAGTCGAATTACTGGAGCTGAACACTTGTAGGAAGGGAGGACTCACCTGGATTATTATTATTATAATCAAGGGGGAAGCGCTAAACCCGGAGGATTATACAGCGCCTGGGGGGGGGATGTGGAAGGCATTCAGGCTTAATTCGGGGAACTGGAGCACAGATCCAATTCCCTAAATCAAGAGCCCCTCACCAACATCAAGGAACCTTCCTTGAGGGGGGACTCACCTGGAGTAGAGCTGCTGGAGGTGGGAGGCAGAGAGGTCGTGCTTGTCTGCGGCGGCCACTGGAGTATAAGGCGGCAGCTCCTCCGTGAACACGTCAGAAGCGTTATTGGTAGGTTCTCCCTTCACTTCTGTTACTAAGAAAAGGGTAAGCTCTCATGTAGTGAAGAAAACTAACGCAAATCAAGTATTTTAAAAATATAATAGATTCGTATACATCAAAGAAAATGGTGATGTAATTACCTGGTATATCTGTCTTAATTGTTGTGGGGGTCATCGCCCCTAGTGCCCGGTTCCAGATCAGGCTATTGGTGCTAGCAGCATGCAGTCTAATCTAAATGCTACAATATATATGCCACGCATCTCATTATTTGATGGCAATGTATAGCATGGCCTTGGGATTTTGCTAAAAGAGTAGGTATAATTGTCTTCACTCTTGCCAGGCCAGGGAGGACGTTGTTTTTACTCTTTCCAGGTCAGGGGGGACACTGTCATTACTCTTGCCAGGCCAGGGAGGAGGCCAGGAAATACACTGAATGTAACATAATTACAACTGCATTCTTTGACAATAATGACGTAAACACAGCAACAAAACACATGTAGGTCATCTTCGCCTGTGTGAAGATGTTTGAGTAATATACGATTATCAGATAGGCTATACGTGATGTACCTGTGACAGGTTTCGATAGTTTTACTACCCAGGCAGTCCAGGGTAGTAAAACTGGACTGACAGGTTATTTTGCACACTGCATAGCACCTGTTTATGTTATCTTATATTTATGTATGTATGTGTGGGGGTGCGCAATTTTACAATTTGTTTCATATGTTGCAAGCTTGTAGAAGTAGAAGAGTAGCAACAGAGGATGACGAAGCACTCACCATGTAGTGTGTTGTTATTGTGAGTGAGGGGAGTCGGGGTGAGCCAGGCGGGGTCTAGTGCCTGAGGGGGCGCTGGAGGAGGCGCCCCACTGTTGCTGCTGCTGCTGCTGTTGCTGCTACTGCTGCCCCCGCTGCCCGGGTGGTAGGCGGGGGAGACTGACGAGGTGGCCGGCGACGTGGACACCGACCCCGTGCCCATAGACACCCCCCGGCCAAGACTCACCAGGGGTGCCAAGACCTCACCGCCGCCTCCAGCGCCTCCACCCGAGCCTTCAGACGGTGAGGCGCACCCACTGTCGCTCTGGCTTGCTGGAGACGACACCGATGGTACCTCACACCTGTGGAAGGAGAGGCCTTGTTAACAGGTACTTGCTGGAACTGTAGGAATGGTTAACTGATCCTGTAGCACAACTTACTCAAATTCCAGACCTGACTAGCTCAATAAAAATTCGCCGTGAGTGTTTTCAATCAATACAACATTAACATACTAACTTGGAACGCCTAAACCCTGATGGGAAGATAATATAACACGAATAACTGGAAATAAAGTATCTCCAGAGTTACTCTAGGTTCTGCTGTTACCAGAAATGTGGAGAAATTTATCTCCAAGGGGCGATAAAGGTGCTATTGAATACATGTTTACTTATAAGAAGAAATATACTCCATTAAGACACAAAAAAAAAAAATATGGAAATTGGAAAGGGAACGACGTTTCCTCTAAAACTTAAGAAAAGTCACAAAAGTTACAAATATTTACAAAGCTGAAAATAACTGCTTTTAAACGAATTGGAAAACGTTGAATCAAACAGTGTTTTTTCGGTCTCAGATTAGTAGGTAAATTGAATGAACTGTATATGGAAGTGTTGGTAGCAAATTCTGGACACTTTCAAAGAGTAGTTATGATAGGACAAAGAGGACAAAATTCATCAATGCTTGTACATATCCTCAGATCTATCTATCCCTTTCTCTTACTCCAGAGAATACATTCCAAGTATCTTGAGGCTTTCCCCGTAATCTATCTTTCTGGGAGAGAGAGGGAGGCTACCTACCTGGAGTCTACCTGGAGGGCATTCCGGGGATCAACGCCCCCGCAGCCCGGTCCACGACCAGGCCTCCCGGTGGATCAGGGCCTGATCAACGAGGCTGTTACTGCTGGCCGCACGCAATCCAACGTACGAACCACAGCCCGGCTGATCCGGCACCGTCTTTAGGTATCTGTCCAGCTCCCTCTTGAAGACAACCAGGGGTCTTCCCGTAATGCCCCTTATTGTTGGTGGGAGACTGTTGAACAGTCTTGGGCCCCGGACACTTATTGTGTTTTCTCTTAGTGTACCAGTGACGCCCCTACTTTTCACTGGGGGTATGTTGCATCGCCTGCCAAGTCTTTTGCTTTCGTATGGAGTGATTGCTGTGTGCATATTAAATGGGACTAGTCCCTCCAGAATCTTCCAGGTGTAGATTATGTCTCTCGCCTGCGCTCTAGTGAGTACAGGTCAAGTGCTTCCAGGCGCTCCCAGTAGTTAAGGTGTTTGATGGAACTTGTAGGTGCAGTAAAGGTTCTCTGTACATTCTCTAGCTCTGCATTTCACCTGCCTTGAATGGGGATGTTAATGTACAGCAGTATTCCAGCCTAGAAAGAATAAATGATTTAAAAAGGATCATCATTGGCTTAGCATCTCTTGTCTTGAATGTTCTCATTATCCATCCTATCAGTTTCCTAGCAGATGTGATAGTGGCATTGTTGTGGTCCTTGAAGGTGAGGTCTTCGGACATTACCACACCCAGGCAGTGCAGGCATTAAACGATATCTGTATCTTTTCCAGCTGACGTCTCTCCTGCCTTGACCGGAGCCATCAACACCAAACAGCATCTTAGGAGAGCACAACCCAGTTAATCAGAATAACTTAAGGAATTTGTCAGGATCCGTCTGGAAGGCAGCTAAGGTCATCATGCTTAACAGCAAAACTAAAACGGCAGCATGAAGAGAAAACACTGCAACAGCATAAACAGTAAATCAGCAGCAGCAAAACAGCATCACAAGGAGGAATAAGCTGGAACAGAAGATAATCCGTTGAGCAGTGGAGGTTATCTTGGGCCATCTACCACTGTGATAATCCCTGGTACCTTGCCCAAGCCGGGAGAGTAGCTACACAGGGATGGTGAAAGGGACAGTTACACCACCCTAAGGGTGGCCACACCTATTTTAGTATGGCCACACCTATTCTAGAGCCACACACCCAACCCAAGATTGGCCACGCACCTCTCCTAGAATGGAGACAGGCCTATATTGAGAAGAGAGAGACCCCTAAGAGAGAGAAAGAGAACAAATACAAACAAATACAAACACACACACATACACACACACACACACACACACACACACACACACACACACACACACACACACACACAAACCACAACACAAATAGGTGAGTACACAGCTGTTGGAACCCATTGAGCTGAGATAGATGCACGATAGAGTGGTCAGAACTGCCTCAGCACATGCCCCCGTCCCTCCCCCATCATTACACTAAGTACCCACTAATTAACCTAACCGTCCACTATCTGTCTTCCAACTACTTGATAATTATTAACTACCACTAAGTACGCCCACGTGTGCGTCTTTGTGTCCCCTTTGTCTCTCCGCCGTCCAACTGTGAGAGGGACAGACGCACAGCAACCCTGCAGCGCTCTGCACGCTCTTGGAAAAGTCGCCACGATTGATTGCCAGAGAGAGAGAGAGAGAGAGAGAGAGAGAGAGAGGAGAGAGAGAGAGAGAGAGAGAGAGAGAGAGAGAGAGAGAGAGAGAGAGAGAGAGACAGACAGACAGACAGACAGAAATACACGCACTCATTTCTTTTCTCTACAATTATTTCGATTATTACCCTGGAGGCCTCCTTGTTGGCGGCGTGTTCAATTAATCTATTAGTGCTTGATTTTCACTCTTTCGATTGGAATACTGCTGTATACAGTAAGCGCTCCTTCAAAGACCTGGAGAAGGCACATCAATTCCAATATCTAACTTATTGTGGACAGCTAAAAATGTCCTACCTGGAGAGCGGGCAAACAATTTACACTTGAAAAATGCTTGAGGAACTGGTTTCAAGTCTAGAACTGAAATCACTCCACAGGAGAATGGAAAACACTACTGGCTGTGCATAACTGCCCCAATCAAGAGTGAAGGTGTAAGAAATAATACGTATAAAATATTCAAGACTTTTAAAAACTAACAGACCCTCGAACCGTCTTCGAGAGGAAACTGTCTCTGGTCTCTACGTTGGTCTGCGAGCTGTGGTCTCTGCGTTGGTCTGCTAGTAAGCGAACCAGGCTGCTTGGCTTCAGACGTATTGGACATCCTTCTAACTACTAACTAGCCTACTGTTTGTCTACTTTCCCATCTGCCTGCAGCCAGCATGTCTGCCTACCAGCCTGTTTGAATGCTCTCTTTCTGTCTGCCAGCCAGACAGCCAGCCAGCAAGCATGACTGTCTACCACTCTGCCAGCCAGACAGCCAGTCAGGCTGTCTGGTGAAAGTATAGCTGCCCACGGCAACACCACCCTCCTCCATTGTTACCTTGGCGCCTGGCTGCCTCCCTGATCCAGGCACAAAGGAAGAAGCGCGTGTCTCCTTTTTTTTTGTGTTTGTATATCCCCTCACTTAGTTTCCCCTCGTGGAAGCACCACCAAAGCCATCACGATTGCAAAGCTTGTTGTAGAGGACAATGGTCTGAATCCTGCCTTTTTGCCTTTCCCCTTCTCCCCATCCCCTCGCACCCTTTCCTCTTCTTCCTTGTCTTGCTACAAACCCGCCACTTTCCTCTCTTCCCTCACCACTTCATCTACACCTACCCACTCTTTGCTCTTGCTGCCCCTTCCTCTCTCAGTTCCCTTCTCTCCCCTCACCGTCGACACGAGGCACAAACGTACCATTTCAATCACAAGGATATTGTAAAGCGTCACGGGTGTGCAAGTACACTCACACGCACGTTTTACTGACGTCTCGATTACGGTTATGACCGTTTACGTTTCGTATGCAACCTCACCCCCCCCCCCGACCGAAAGTATATGCATAAAAATCCTTACATTATAATCCTTGAAACACTGTCTAAAACTAGAATAACTTACAGGTAAAACCCTACAAGGGGTGAGGGGTGAGTGAGCCATTACCTAAGCAGCAGTAGATCATTACACTCCATTACAAACTCACCTGGAGGGTGTTCCGGGGGTCAACGCCCCCACGGCCCAGTCCTTAACCAGGCCTCCCGGTGGATCAGGGTCTGATCAACCAGGCTGTTACAGCAGATGAAGAATAAATAAGTGGGGGAGAGGAAAGGCTACATAAATAGAAAAAGAGCCTAGGCTAGGCCCAGCAGTAAAGACAACAATGTCGATGAAGAAATAGCAACCTAGAAATAAAAAAAAGCACAACCAAATAGCAATAAAATTTCACATTTTCGAAAATCTTAAAAAAAAAAAAAATCCTGAGGTATCACAATATTTACAGAACTGGGAACAAAATGGGTCAGAGCAGGACGCTCTTGCTTCTCGTAAACGTGATATACATGTGACCTATTTCCAGGAATATTTCCAGAATATTTCCAGGAATACTTCCAGAATATTGCTCAGTGCTGACGGCCCCGTTCAGGGCAGGAGAAATACCGGAGCTGGAACAAATACAGAGATCGTTTACGGCTCACACTGAGCCAGTAAAGCACCTAAACTACTGGGAACGCCTGCAAGTCTTGAACATGTACTCATTGGAGCGGAGGAGAGAGAGGTACATGATAATATATACCTGGAAGGTACTCGAGGGCTTGGTCCCAAATCTGCACACTGCCATAACAACATACTGGAGTGAGGAGCAGGGGTGCGGTGGGGACAATAAGGGAACACTGTATCAACATCCGGGGTCCCAGACTTTTCAACATCTTACCAGAAGATATCAGAAACACTGCTGGAATAAGTGTGAAGCCTTCAAGAGGAAACTAGACAATTATCTTCACCAGGTGCCAGATCAACCACGCTGTGATGGCTATGTGGGGCAGCGGGCCTCCAGCAGCAACAGCCTGGTTGACCAGGCGAGCACCAGACGAGCCTGGCCCATGGCCAGGCTCAGAGAGTAGATATACTCTCGAAATTCTTCAAAGGTATATCAAAGGCTCCTTACACCAGTGGGCCGCCAGCCAGCAGTAACCGTCTGGCTGATCAGGCAAGCACCAGACAAAGCCTGGCTGCGAGAGCAGGAAAGACTCTCGAGAGCCTTCAATGATATATCAAAAGCTTTCCTGCTGAACGTATGGTCAACCAGGCTGTTTTTGCTAGCTGCCTGCAGGGCCCA